TGGTAGCCATATGGATATTAGAACAGATACAGAGCTGGGCAATAAATGGTTTTCAAAGGAACTGAATGTAGCCCAAGATGATTTAATTCTGATGGACAACAGTTTAACTCCCCACAACCACAAGTCATTTGGACTTGTGGAATTTTTTTCTTTGGTCTTTTGTTGTTGTTGTTGTTAGTATATATTAACTATACAAAAATGAGTTTCATTCTATTTTGCTCAAATGTACTCCCTAATACCATCCTGTCCCTCTTATTACTAGTCCTTCCTCCTCCTTCTCTCTCTCTCTCTCTCTCTCTCTCTCTCACACACACACACACACACACAAAAAAAAAAAATCCAATTAGTTTCTTCATTGGGATTATTTGCTCTGCCACTAAAGAAAACACATCTCCCTGCCCCGCCAAACACTAACTGCGGTGAGGGGTAGGGCCCTGAACCTCCCCGGTCCCGTGATAAGATATTAAGGGACCAATCTTGTGCAAACTTTGTGTAGTAGTGCAAACTTATGTGAGTTCAAGAGCTCAAAGGCCATATCATGTCTGGAATCAGGACTTCCCATTCTTTTTTTTTTTTTTTTTTTTTTTTTTTTTGTAATCTTACATTTTTTCCTGCCCCTCTCTCCATCATGTTCCCTGAGTCATGGAGGGAGTTATATAGGTGTCCCATGTGGCTGAGCACTCAACAGTCGCTCATCCTCAGCACTGTGGACAGTTACAGGTCCCTGCAGTTACTGCCCAGAGATGATGGTGGCTTCATCTATGAGTGTAAGCATAGTGCTTTAGAATGAGCTTATTAAGAAAATAGCATGGCCTTTGGACAGCTCCCCTCTATCCAGGGAAGTCTCTTACATGTCCCAATCTCTGACAACCCTGACTTGGCTGGTCAACTTTTAAAGTGCCATCCTCACCTCTGCTGGGCTCACCATTGCCTCTGTTTTTCTACTACTTATCTCTCCTTTCTTCTCCCTACTCAACTCAGATAACCACACCGTGTCACCATAAACTTCTAACTCCTTATATACACTTCGACGTTTGTTTACTCAGACCTACTGACTTTTGATCGTGGCTGAACCCAGCCCTTTTTTTTCCGCTTTATTTTTTCATTATTATTATCATTACTATTATTATTCATTTTCAGTTTTTCCATGACAGTGTCTCTCTTGTAGCCCTGGCTGTCCTGGAACTTGCTCTTTAGACTAGGCTGGCCTCTCACTCTGAGATCCACTTGTCTCTGCCTGCCAAGTGCTGGTATTAAAGGTGAGTGCCACCTCCTCCTAGCTATCCGCTTTAGTTTTGCATCTGGGCAGCTAAGTGTGGCTAATGGGAAACACAGCTTAGTGCTGGATTTACCATCATGCATTTCAAGTGTGGAAGGAAAGAGTGGCGGTTTGGGAAAGGAGCTGTCAGATTACCATTCAGAATGAACTTCAGTGGGAGAGAGTCTCATGGCCATGGGAAACCTGATTAAGAGGTATAGAACACCATATCAGAGACAACACGATAGTGTCTTAAAGGGAGGCAGAGTTGTCATTTAAGGGAACTGGCTTAACGTACAAGAAAAGGAGAGGTAGTTTAAAGTGAAAGGGATAATTGCCATGGACAGCATGGTAGAAGGACCCCAGGGAGAGAGCTAGGGAGAGAGAGGAGGAGAGGGACAGGGAGAAGGAAGGAGGGGGAGGGACAGAGAGAGAGAGAGAGAGAGAGAGAGAGAGAGAGAGAGAGAGAATGACACAGTGACAGAGACACACAGAGAGAATGTGCTATGAACACCAGAAAGTTCTTTCTTTCACGTTTTCCCAGGAGGTGGGGAGCACCAATGTAGTTCCAGGTAGGCATCGGAGTTGTTTGTCCAAGGGGCAGGAATAAGGAAGAACATTTGTGTTACAAATTCCTGTTACATTTACAAGCCGTAGAGCTGTGCTGCCTAGGAGGTGTGGCCTGATTTGAAAGAGAGAGACAGAGAGACACAGACAGACAAACACACGTATACACACACATACACACACACACACACACACAAACACACACACACACCTAACGAAATTACATTTTTCTCACATCCTCATTATCAGCTGAACACTTTGACTCTTGTATCCCTGAGAACACAGTAACAAAATGTCTTAGAAAAGAAATGATGCCCTTCTTTTGGCATAAAATGACTGTACAGAAAAGAGATGGTGTTATGTGTTGGAATCTTGATGTTGGGCTGGGATAGTCTTTAACCACACTCAAGGGTGAGGGGTTCTTTCCCTTCCTATGTTCCCATGGTTCATCCAGTGTTTCTGTCCTTCCTCAGCAAGCACTAAGAATTCCAGCAGATTAATCAGCTTTATTTTCCTCCTTCTTTTAAGTATATACAAAGTACTCTGTGTTTGCTGGCTACTTGTGACAAGCATTTGTGGGTGTTATCTCAGTTAATTTTAATAAGTACCTGAGGTTGATACTGTTGTTGTGTCTAAGTTACAGGTGTCTGAACAAGGTCAAGGTTAGGACTGAGTTGGGAGGCTGAAATCATGAGGAAGGCAAGAACTGGAACATGATAACTTCTGTAGGAAGCCAGCATGAAGGTTGATGTCTCTAAAAATGTTAAAGTTACTGAGGGTAGAGAGGAAGCATTGGTCCATGGGTTTAGATACATCTGATGGGAAGTAGAACCAGACTTTTACAGAACTGAAAGAAAAGGGGGTATTGGGTGGCCTGGACTGATGGCCTGGACTTTAAGACAATAGGTTTTTGTTTATTTGTTTTGAGTCAGAGTCTAATGTAGTCTGGGCTGGATACTTACTTCAAGGTGTGGACTCCTGATCCTCCTGCCTTCCCTGAGTGTGTGTGTGTGTGGGGGGGGTGATAGAAATGCATCACCACATTTGGCTTGACAGTAGGTGGCTTTGAAGGGATGGAGAATATGAATACTCAATGTGAATGCTCAAGAGGGTACATGTCTTGTTCCAAGTGCTGAAGAGCCTTGAGTATGGGTGGCCAGAGGAGTGGATCATGGAAAAGGAAAAGATCCAAACCAGCGTTGAAAGAGCCATGGAAGGCCAGCTGATCCATCCATTGGAATTCCCAGTTTCCAGACAATAAACAAGGGGCATTCCAGAGAACAGATGGCAGTAGAGAAGTCTCTTGATGACAAAGTGTGAGCATTAGGCAGAGACTGAGTTAGAATAGACATGCGCCAGATGAGTTGGGGGGGGAGGATGGTTTGACTCTGAGGGTTCCAGAAAATACCGAGGAGGAGCATGAGCACATCTAGTTGAGGTCAGGGATGGGGGTTAAGGAGGGAGGAGGGGGGAGTATGCTGCCACTGGCAACCTGAGTTCTGTAAAGTCTTTGTGGAAGTGTGAATAGCTCTTGTCATTCTCTTACAGTTCAGACCCTGTGTGTGTGTGTGTGTGTGTGTGTGTGTGTGCATTAAGGGCTTGGAGATCCACCGGCAGGCTCTTGGTAGGCGTCTTGCCACAGAGAGGCTGTTGCAGGTAGGCGTGGCCTGAACCGCAATCTAGTTGGATTCAACAGTAAGGAGACAAGAACATAAAGGTGATAGGGGACCTAGGAGGCTCAGATTTGGGAGCCACTAGAACTTCTGACGTCAGGGGAATAAATTAACCAAGAACTACCCTGGTCCTTGTGACTACTTCCCAGAGTTGCATTAGACATCAGGGTTAACTAGGAGCTGCTGAGTGAACACATGATCACCCTGACTGATAGAAGCCTGGTGCGATGAGAATGGTGAAGCAGACACGTACCTAGAACATCAGATGGCAGGAACTCTTGTCTTACAAAGCAGCAGAGGAGCTGGGATGGCAGCTCAGTGGGCAAAGTGAAAGCATGGGGACCTGGGTTTGGAACCCCACACCTATGTAAAAGCATAGATCTGTAACCCTAGTTCTGGAGGGGCAGAGACAGGCAGATCCCAGCCGCTCTTTGGTCAGCCACTCTAGCTCAATAGTCAAGCTCTGGGCTCAGAGGGAGACCCATACCACCTCAAAAACTAAGGTGGGGAGTAATAGAGGAAGTCATTGAGGTCAGCCTCTGGCAGCCATAGTTGCATGCACACTGGAGTGCCTTGCATGCACAGGCATAGTATACAAGTTAAAAGACATGTGGGACCCCACTCTGCAACTTAGTAGCCATAGATCTTTGAGGAGAAGTTACTCCTCCCTGGCTGTCTCCCTGGTCCAGTTTACACCTCTCCTTTTTAGGAGAGCCTAAACTTCAAGACAGTCTCCTTCTGAGGGATCCTGACTCAGCATCAGCTGGCTGCATCCCTCTTGAAAGCCGTGCAGCATAAAGATAACAGGAAAATAGCTGGCTCCACGGACCAAAGCCAGACAGCCCCTCAAATGTGTCAACACCTACTCTCAGCTGCCTGAAGAGCTGGAATTAAAAGATTATACACAGTTACAACACTCATGGGATACTGAAGAAGGATGATTAGTTTCTAGTTCAAGGCTAACCTGAGCTACATAGGAAGAACATGACGGACAAAAGAAAAAAGAAAGAAGGAAGGACGGAGAAAGGGAGGGAGAGAAGGGAGGAAGGGAGGGAAGGAGGGAGAGAAAGAAAATGTCATGTTTTGGCTTTTAAAACTGCTTCTTATAAAATAATAACAATAAGATGGGCATTGGTGGTGCATGCCTTTAACCCCAGCACTCGGGAGGCAGAGGCAGGCAGATCTCTATGAGTTGGAGGCCAGCCTGATCTACAGAGCTAGTCCCAGGACAGGTTCCAAAGCTACACAGAGAGACAAACAAAATGATAACAATATCTGCCAGCACAGAGAGGCTTAGGAACCAGTGGTAGTCACTCAGCAAGGGAATCAGGGCCTGGGGAGATGGGTTGGGGTGACTGTTGAATGTGTTAGGACCTAGCAAGAAAGCTTCCTGGCTTCCATGGCTGGACAAATATAAGGCTGACAAGAACGTTTCAGAGCCAGCCAGCCAGAGAGCAGCTAGGAGCAGGACAGAGCCAGCCAGCCAGAGAACAACCAGAGCAGGGCAGCTATGTACATGTTAGAGATGATGTTTTTCTTCGACTTCGAGTTCTGAGACCTTTGGCCCAGTTTTTCCGAAGCTGGCAGAGGCCTCGATAAGCTAGGGCGGGGCTTCCCAAGGCTGGAGTCCCAGAGACTTATAAAGCCCAGCCCACAACTGCTGGGCATCTCTCCCAAGGCCTGTGGACAGCTGGCTTTCTGCAGATACCCTAGAGATGCAGCGGCTTTTGGCTCCAGCAAGGAGGGTCTTGCAAGTGAAGAGAGTGATGCAGGAAGCTTCGCTCACACCTGCTCACCCGCTCTCAGCAGCCCAGCAGAGGTGAGTCACCTGCTCTGAGGGTCTATAGAGGTCACTCTCAGACAAGCACCACGGGGGACCAATAAAGACCAGGCAGGGGACTTCACTAGAATCCCAGGCAAAAGCTGGCGAGGCTCGCACTCAGCCACCAACACACAAGTTAGCTTCAAAGGGGGCCCTGCTGCCTCATTTCTAGACAGTGCCAGTCCGCTGTTAAGTTGGAGAGGCCTACATCTCGCATGCCCACTGTTTAGGAAAAGCAGCATCTTCTCGTCTCCCCTGAGCTACAGGCGGCAGCAGAACTCAGTATCCTGAAGCTGCAATCTTAGTTCAACTGCTCACTTTAGCTCAGTGCAGCAAGACCTAGAATGGACCAAAAAGAGGAAGCTGTGTTTCTCTGTGCCTCAGTTTTATGAGATGAAATATAGAAGTTGCGGGGGCGAGGGGTACATGTGCCTGTGCAAGAAGAAACACATGCCTCAGTTCTTTGTAAACACCCTTTAGTCTGGTCCAAGTGCTGTGGTTGCCCAGAACTAACAGGATACAGCTGTGCTCCGTGCCTTATTTACTCCTTTGCTCGCCCGCCCACTGAGGTCATAGTCCCAAGGGTTCCTTTCCACTTATACCCACGGATGCTGAATATTTAGGGGGAAAGCCACTTTGCTCTTGTGTCTCCCCTTGCCTGCTCCCCAGGGAGCCTGGAATGGGGGGCAGTGCCCTTTACCTCTTTCTTTTCTTCATGACCCCACCATCACCTCCACTCTCCCACCCCTGGCAAAACCCCTGCATTTCAGTTGAATATTCCAGCTCAGAAGATTCTAGCTTGTCTCTGCATTTGTGAGGAAGTGGTGGACACGGTTTACTAATTTCAGGGCTGGACAGGGGTGACCATTCGCTGGTCCCACCCCCACACCCTTCTTTTTAAAAATCAAGACAGGGCCTCTCTATGTAGCCTTGACTGACCTAGAACTCACTATGTAGACCAGCTGGCCTTGAACTCATACAGATACACCTGCCTGTGCCTCCAGAGCACTGGGATTATAGGTCTGTGCCACGATGCCTGGCACAAACTTTCCCTAAGCCACTGTGGGCCACTACCCAAACCTCCATCCTCACTGATGCACTGTGGTTTCTTTGGGTCACGATCTGGAACTCTTACATGTCCCTTCTGGCACCCTTGTGGTTAGCCCAAGTGCTCACTGCCTGAACTACTCAAGTTCTTTATAGGTCACCTTCGCTCTAGAGGGCCCCTCTAATCCAACCCACAGCAGCTTTAAATCCACCCCAGGAGAACTGCCCTGACATCAAACACCTGGCTCTCAGCTATATTCTCTGCCTCCTAGCCTGCTCACCCCCCCCACCGTGATCACTACCCCTTCACCCTTGAAAATAGTGATCTGTCTATCAAGACTGACCTTAGGGGCTGGTAGGATGGCTCAATAGGTAAAGATGCCAAAGCTGAGGACTTAAGTTCAGTCCCCAGAATGCACTCAGTAGGAGAGGACAGACTCCTGAGATTTGTCTTCTGACCCCCACACATGTGCTGTGCCCCTGCCCCAACATTTAAAAAAAAATGTAAACAAGAAAACAAGGCTGACCTCGAAGTTAGCCCCGGCATGAAGCTCTCCTTATTTTCCTTACTCAGAGAGTCTCTGTTTCCCTTGCACTACACCATTTTGCCCGTATCTCTTCATGGTCCTCATCCCCCTCCAGTCTTGGCAGCTGGGCTACAGATATGCTCATCTCCTTCCTCATGCCGATTAAGGATTTTGAAAGTCCTGCCCTCTTCTCTGTGTAACGCTTTCATACAACAGCTCCCTTCTCCTCATGGTGCAGAGAACAAGACAGTTAGCTGTGAAGCCACAAGGGAACGGGCAGGATGGAGTGAATTAGAGCTTGGTGCAAATCCTTGAGCTAAGCAGCAAGAACAAGTTACTTTAAGTGAAATGCAATGGCCATCGCTTGGAGGAAGTATGGGACAAGAAAGGAACTCTTTAACCAAGTGCCTGGTGCTTCTGGAAGCCTTTGTGCGGCCCTTTTATCTCCAAGGCTCTGAAATCCACGACCAGAAAAGTCTCTACCAAGATAATAAGGAGAGTCCCTGCCTCCTTATTATGAGGGAGGGAGTCGGACCAGAGAGGCAGATAGAGACACGAACCTGAAGGGAAAGCAGCCAAGCTGGCAGCTCCAAACACTGGCTAACCATTAGCTCTTGGTCCTGGGGATGCTCCCCCATAAATATTTGAAAGTTCAAACTCCAGTTATTTGGAGAGCACCAAATAAATACGTTAGCTCCCTCCCTCTCCCGGCAGAGGCCAACGAGACGAATTGCTCTGCTCCAGTGTCTTGTGGCGATGCTCTTTTGTCTCATGGGGTCCTTAAAAGTGACCCTCCTGGTGAGAACATTTGGGGACCCCAGAGGATCAGGTAGGGAGAAGCACTCAGTATGAGGCAGATCCCCTGCGGTACAGAGAAAGCTTTGTAAGCCAGGTGTCCAGGGCAACAACTAGACAGTATTTCTAGAACAAGAAAGGCTGAGGCACTACTTTGGTAGTGTTTATAGCAAAGAAGGGCACTGGCTTCAGACCCTGAGCACCTGTAGGAGGGGAGCCTTGCAGCTGGGAAGAGAAACTGCTCACTTTCACCAGAAGAGGGATACAGGAAAGAAAGAAATTCTTTCTTTCCCCTTCTACTGACTGCCATTCTCTCTGGTCTCCATTTAGAATTCCACTGTTGGTCCTCTGTGCTCCCACCACGGGTTGGCCTGCTCCACTACAGAAGGGGCTATAAAAAGCCTGCCGCCCTGTGGGCACAAAGGGTGTCTGTCTTGTTCTACGGTGAGTCAGCTCTGCGTGGGGAACGTCTGATAAATATTGAAAAGTCTCAATCAGAAGAAAACAGACAGAATGAAAGACAGGGAAATTTTCCTTTAAAAGAAAGGAAAGGACCTGGGCACATTGGTGCACATTTGCAATGTCAGCACTCAGGAGGCTGAGGCAGGAAGATCAAGAGTTCAAGGCCAGCTTGGACTACATAGTGAGACTTGGTCTCAAAACAAAACAAACATAGCAACAAGTGGGGAAAGGATCCATTTTTTCATGTATGGTAACAAGAGAGTGGAGGTTTCTAGATTATTCTCTCTAAGGGCTTATAGCACATGTGGAAATAAAACATCAGGATCATAACAGCTCAAAGCGACCAAGTAGTAACAGAGCTGACCTATTGGAAGGGTTTGCACTATTTTGGAGATAGTGGGGTGCACTTTATTTTTAATAGACACACAATAACTGTCCATACTTATGGGTATATTGTGACATTTAAGTGTACACACACACACACACACACACACACTGACCTGATCAGAGCAATCGGCTTATTTATCGTTATAGACTTTTACCATCTCTTTGTGTTTTGAGCATTCAAAATCTTCCCTACCTTCTTCTTTGAAATACCCAATTAACTGTTGTCAATCATAATGATCCTGCTGTGTCATAGGACATTGAGAGTTCCTTCTGGGGCTGGAGAGATGGTTCAGTGGTTAAGAGCACTGGCTACTCTTCCAGAGGACGCAGGTTCAATTCCCAGCATCTATACGGCAACTCACAACTCTCTGTAACTCCAGTTCCATAGAATCCGACACCCTCATACAGATATACATGCTTGCAAAACACCAATGCATGGCAAATAAAAATAATTAAATAATTAAAAAAACCCAGAACATCACTTCTGGCTGAGGATGTGTTTTAATGTGTTTGCCTCAAATGTCCTGTGTTTACGTCCCAGCACCATGGAATAAAACAAAACAAAAATTGAAGCGTATTTCTCCCATGCAGCTGTACCCCTGCACACAGCAGCTGTCCTCTTCCCTTTCCCTCTTTTTCCTTGCCCTGCCCGAGGCTCTTGCATTACTATTCCAGTCTCTACTGCTTTGAGGTCAATGCCTCAGCTAGCACCTGTGAGCAAGAACATGCCATCTTTGACTTTCTGTGCATAATATATGTTCCATCTGTGTTGCTGCAGTGACAGAATTCAATCTTCGTGGCTAAATCATATTCCAGCATACATACATGTCACAGTTTGTCTACACATTCATCTGTCAGTGAGCAGCACAAAGGATTATCTATTGTGATTCTTGTAAATAGTTCTGCAATAAGTGTGCAAGTGTTTATTATGTGTGACCATGAGTGATGTGTGTTCAGTTCCCTTGGGTATGTGCCCAGTATTGAGGTTCATGGATCCTATGATAGTTCTCTTCTGGTTTTTGGTGCTACAACTGTATGGTTTCCATGTGGCTGTATCAATTCACACTCCTATCATCTCTGTATGAGAGGTTTTTCTTTTTAAAAAGTTGTATGCGAGTGTGAGCCCATGTGTGAGCTTGTGTGCCACGGTACACGTGTGGATGTCAGAGGACAACTTGCAGGAGTCTTTCCTTCTGCCATGTGGGTTACTGAGATTGAACACAGGTCTGTCTTCTGGGGTAAAGCACCTTTTCCCATGGGGCCATCTCGCCAGCCCTGAAAACTTCCTTTTTCAGCAGCTTCATGGCATGTGGTATTTATTTACTTATAATGTCATCCTAACTATGGTGAAGCTTCATTTTGGACCTTTGCTCTGCACCTCCTTGCAGATGTGTGATGTGTTGCGTATTTGTATCTGTTCTCTGTACGTCCTCTCTTGAAAAATGTTGATTCAGGTGTTGGCCTATTTAAAAACAGAACTATTTGGATTTTTGTTGTCAAGTTGTTTCAGTCCCTGATATATTCTGTGAGTTGTGCCCTTCAAATGAACAGATTGCAAGAATTCTCTCCCACAGGAGGCTGCCTCTTTAGTCTCATATCAATCCTTTTGCTATTCAGAAGTATCTTCAGCTTTAAATAATCCTATTTGCCTTACTTTTGGGGGGGTTCTTAAAAAGTATTTGAAGGGCTAGCAAGATGGTTTGGCAGGTAAAGCTGATAAGTCCAATGACCTGAGTTCAAGTCCCAAACCCGACATTGTGGAAGGAAAGGACTGACACCTACAGTTGCCCTTTGATAATCACAATGGCACTCACATCCATACACATATAAGTCAATATGTAAATAAATAGGTAAATAAACATAAAATCAGGGAAACTGAGGTGGAGGATCATGAATTTGAGGTTGACCTAAGCAACCTGGTGATCCAGTCCAGGTGACATAGTGAAATCATGTCTCAAACAAATCAAAGCAAAACAGAATGAATCTTTGCCAACATTAACATGTGCTCTACATTTCCTTCTAGCAGAGTCATGATTTGAAGTCCTGCATTTGGGTCTTCCACCCTTTTTCAATTGATTTCGTATGGTGAAAGGCAGAGTATGGTTCTACTGTGTGTAGATATCTAGTTTTCTCAGCAGCACTCATCAAAAAGATTCATTTCTTCAATGTGTGCTGTTGATGCCTTCACAAAAAAATAATCCGGCTATGAAAGTGTGAGTTTATTCATTCTGAGTTCTTTGCTCTGCTGATTTATGTGTTGGTTTTTATTTCAGAGAATAGATCTAATTATTGTTAGACAATGACCATCTTCATATCTTTCTAAAGACTTTATTTACAATCAATCTTATCTGACAAGAGCATAGGTACTCTTGTTTGCTTTGGGGTTCTTATGTATCTTTTTCCATTCTGTCACTACTGGTTTTTGTGTGTCTTCAGTGGTGAAGTGAATTTATTTTAAAAGTGTATCATGGAACTTGGCTGTAGTCCATTCAGCCAGTCTTTTAGCTGGGAGATTGAATACAAGTGTCTTTCTATTACATGTCTTGCTGGTCATTTGTATGATCTGTGTTCCTTCCTTTTCTTGTTCATCACTGTGGTTGGTGGCTTTCTTCTATTCTGATAGGTTTCTCTTTCTCCTCTTTTGTGTATCTGCTCTACTATTGAATTCTATATTTCCACAGTCTTCATAGTGTAGTTATATTTTTGTCCCCCCATGTGTAAAAATACCATAAGCATTCTTTTAGAAGTTATTTGTCAGTGATGAATTCCCTGCTCTTTTTTTTTTTTTTTTTTTTTTTTTTTTTTTTTTTTTATCTTGGAAAGACTTTATTCCTTCTTCATCTCTGAAGGATAGTTTTTCTGGGTATAATATTCTTGGTTGGCAATTCTTTTCTTTCAGAACTCTGAATATATCACCCCATTCTCTACTGTCCTACAAGGTTTCTGCTGAGAAATCTGCTGTTGGTCTAATAAATATTTCCTTATATACAACTTGAGTTATTTCATTTGTTGTTTTTGGAATTTCTATCTTATATTTTTTCCATTTATTTATTTACAGTGTGTATGTATATGGATGTGTCTGTGCCAAACTTCAAATACTTCCTTAAAAATCATTATTTTGAATTCTTTTTTCAGGCAATCACTTATTTCCTTTCCTTTGGTGGTGGTGGTGGTGGTGTGTGTGTATGTGTGTGTGTGTTTTCTGTGGCTAGAGTGTTTCTTTGGAGGTGTCATGTTACCTTGTTTTTCATGTGTTTAGTCACCCTCCATTGATATTTGTGCATTTGGATGGGGTCAGTTTTCTCTGTCTCTCAATTTTATTGACTGGCTTTTACAGTAAAAGTCTTTGTACTGATGATTTGTCACACAGTATTGATTGTATAGACTGCATTGGGTTGGTACTCCAGTGTAGATCTGTAGATAAACACTGTCATCAGTGTTGGTGATGCTTGTCTTAGTGATATAGGCTACAGGATTTGTGGAATTATGCTAAAATATTCATGCATTTTTTTTTTAGGCAAGGCAAGATTGCTACTGGTTCTTGGAAAAGTGTTTTGAGGGTATGAAGTACCTTTAAATTTCTGCAGATGATATGGGAATAGGGTCACCCCATGGGCCTAGGTAGGAATGGGACAGCATTCTCATCAGTAGAGCAGGATGATAGTGGTGTCTGAAGCTTTCATGAGGGCTGAGCTATGAGCAAGTATAGATGTGATACCACAAATGATAGAAGGTCATGGATGACATTGGGCTCAGAACAGGCTGTTAATCTGCCTCTCAGAGACTCAGTGGGGTGACCTTCTAAGGTAGACATATCCACTAATTCTTGAGGGCTGCAGAAGGATGTTCATGGCCACTTAGAATCTCAGCGATGACTTCTGTGAATTAAGATACTCAAGAATATGGGGTTGGAGAGATAGCTCAGTGGTTTAGAGCACTGACTGCTCTTCCAGAGGTCCTGAGTTCAATTCACAGTAATCACATGGTGGTTCACAAACATCTGTAATGAGATCTAGTATCCTCTTCTCTCCTACAGGCTGAACACTGCATACATAATAAATAAATCTTTGCTCCAAAGCTACAGAGAAACACTGTTTTGAAAAGTCAAAATAAATAAATAAATAATATTTTTAAAAAGAATACTCAAGAATAGAAACCTTTGTAGGCTTTGTGAGTCATGCTTACTATCTACTTTCCATGTGTTTCTTAGTCAGTAGAAAATGTGCCTCTGTAAGTTCATGTTGTTCAACATAGCCCGCCAAGGTACTTTCCAGGGGTGTGGGAAGGGAAACAGAGACACCTGTATATTTCATAGAAATGAATTGGCTACGCTTATAGAAGCAGTTCTCTGGTTGCTTCATAGACCCTAAGGTGGACAGAATCCCAAGATGGTCCTGTGGAGCAGGAGTCAAGTGGGAAGGGTATAACATGGGCTAGGCTCTTCTTTAGGGCAATTTGGTGGTGTGGTAAACAGGTAATTACCCAAACCTGGCTCCAGAATGGCAGAGGCTATAGACTCTCAGACAGCAAGAAGTCTGGTATGAGAGAGGACTCATCTTTTCTCTGCTAAGCAAAGCTCCTCTTGGTTAAGTGTTGATCTTGAAAGACGGGAGGGTAAATGCTAGTCTCTACTTTCTAAAGTCAATGTGTTTCCATGGTTCTGCAATGTTTTCTCCACACATCACTCCATGCAAACATGCTGGGGAAAAGCTATTGTTTTCCTTGTTACAGAGGGAAGAACACCAGACATGGCTCATGGACCATCTTCCTGACAACACCTTCTTAGTAGAAAAAGTAATTTATTTAGCATGTGATAAGCTGTGCCTATTGTAACCTCTAGGGTCATCACTAAAAAGCAGATGGGGAAAGGGGTAAAGGCTAATAAATATTTTTAAACTGGTAAATAATTGATAAGAATTCAGAAAAAGGGGAAATAAAAATGAAAGATATTATAAGCAAATAAAATCAGATAGATGATAAATTTCATCCCAATTTTATCAGTAATTATAATAAATATAAACAGACTAAATACTCCAATTAAAATACCCCTATTGTAAGGCTTATTAAAAAATTCAAAGGTTCATGAAATTTATAAAAGATAGTTGTTGCCAGATGTGATAGTGCATACCAGCTCTGTAAGCCAGTATTCTGTGGCTGTAAAGATACCATCAAGATACCATGTCCACAGCAATTCTTACCGAAAAAGCACTTAATTGTCACAGCAGGGAGCATGGCAGCATACATGCAGATGTGGTGTTGGTGAAGTAGCTGAGCATTTTGTATTTGGATCTGAAGGTATTAGGAAGATCGAGAAACCCTGGGACTGGCTTGGCTTGACCTTTTGAAACCTCAAACCCCACCCCCAGTAACACACTTCCTCCAACAAGGCCCTCTCAAATAGTGCCACTCCCTAATGCCCAAGTATTCAAATATATGAGCCTACGGGTGCCCTTCATATTCAAACCACCACCCCTGGGATCCCAGTACTTAGGAGGTAGAGTCAGGAGAATCCAGAATTCAAAGCTAGCCTGCCTGGGGTAAAATGACAGATCCTGACTCACAAAACCAAAATCCAAAAGACACGCACGGAAACAAAACAAAACAATTAGAAGTTAAAATAATAAATGGTTACTCTTCCTTTTGATATGACAGGATAGCCTAACAAAAGCCACGTAAGGGAGGGAGTATTTATTTCCATTCACAGTCCTGAGGTCCGGTTTACCATGGTGAGGAGGTCACAGTGACAGGAGCTTGAGACAGTCAGGAGTCAGAGGACACTGAGTGGTTACTCTCAGCTAGCTTCATCCTCTTTATACAGTCCAGGACAAAGCCCAGGGGAAAGTGCCCCAACCCTCCAGGGTGGGCCTTCCCATCTCAATTAAACCGTCTGAGATAGTCCCTCATAGGCAGGCCCGAAAGCTAACCTACTCTCAACGATGTGTCTGGTGTCTGGAGTCTTTTCTCCCAGGCAATTCCAGAGCCTAACAAATTGGTAATCTACACTAACATCACACTCTGAGAGTCTGGACAGAATAACTACCATTCAAAGAGTGATCACAGTACTAGCATAGCTGTGTTATTAGGAAAAGTAATGTGTTATAATGTATTAAAGGATAAAAGGGTCAAATCAACAGGTAAAACTACTAAATTTTCACCACTTGATAACACAGCTTCAAAAGATACTAAACCATAAATGAAATGATTGCCACAGTATTTTTTTTTTTTTTTTGAGGCAACTGTCAAAAGACCATTAGTGGATTTACGACTGTTATTTTTAACTGCAGGTTTTTTACGATCCCTCCTGCTCCCTTGGCCAAAACGGACACTTGGCCAAAAGATGTTGGCATCCTTGCCCTGGAGGTCTACTTCCCAGCCCAGTATGTGGACCAAACTGACCTGGAGAAGTTTAACAACGTGGAAGCAGGGAAGTACACAGTGGGCTTGGGCCAGACCCGTATGGGCTTCTGTTCGGTCCAGGAGGACATCAACTCGCTGTGTCTGACAGTGGTGCAGAGGCTGATGGAGCGCACAAAGCTGCCATGGGATGCTGTGGGCCGCCTAGAGGTGGGCACCGAGACCATCATTGACAAGTCCAAGGCTGTCAAGACAGTGCTCATGGAACTCTTCCAGGAGTCAGGCAATACTGACATTGAGGGCATAGACACCACCAACGCCTGCTACGGTGGCACTGCCTCCCTCTTCAATGCTGCCAACTGGATGGAGTCCAGCTACTGGGATGGTATGTATTTCTAGGACATTACAGACGTATGATTCTTAGAGTGGAGGCTGAACACCATGCTCTGCTCTCAGCTCTCCAGAGGGCTTTATACTGGGAAGGGAAAGGCAATTTATCTGCACAGCTGCTGCTATCGCCCAACAAAAACAGTGAGGATAGCCAGGTAGATGGGCACAGCTTTATGAAGTTGATCAGGTAATGTGTTCATGTAGCTATTCATTTATTCTGTGCAATATCCTGTGGTGTGAGTGCCACACCCGATCGATCATAGGTGAGAAGGTGAAATGTTTGGTGTCTTCACTGTTTTAGTTACTTGTCTTGCAGCTGTGACAAAACTCCTGACAAAGGCAACTTAAGGAAAGAAGGGTTTATTTTGGTTCATAGTCTGAAGGTGTAGTCTATTATGATGGGGGAATCATGGCGTCATGAGCTAGAGACAGCTGGTCACAGGGCATCCCCAGTCAGGAAGCAGAGTGACAGGAATGATTTTGTTCATCCCTCTTTGTCCCTTTTTGTTCAGCCCAGAACCCAAGCCTACAGGATGATGTCACACACTTTTAGAGTGGTTCTTCTATTTCAGTTAACCTAAATGAGAAAATCCCTCAGGACATGTCCAGAGGTTTGTTTTCATGGTGGTTATAAACCTCATCAAGGTGAGGTGGCATTAAGATTAAATACCACACTGATGCAATGAGTGTAGAGGCAAAACTCCAAACTAAGTCCAACATATCTCTCTGTGCTTAGTTCTCTTTATTGCCTCCTAAGTCTCTGAAACAAAGATATATGTACATAAGTTTCTATGGTAAGGGATGGACACTGGTCAAAATGGACTGAGAGAAGCCCAGAGTGGACCATGAACAGTGTCTTTCTCCTTCTCCAGGGCCTGCTCCTGAAATGTTAACATTGCTTTATGCCTTGCTTACATCTTTCCCCGGAGTTACATTGGTGGTCTACCATCTGTCAAGATGGCAAGGAAAAGTCCAAGGGAAAGAGTTAAATACCTAAGATCACTTCCATTGCTGTGAAGAGACAGAATAACCACAGCAACTCTTATGGAGAGAAAAAAAAAAAAAACATTTAATTGAGTCTGGCTCACAATTTCAGAGGTTTTAGTCTATTGTCATCATGTCAAGAAGCATGGCAGCATGCAGACAGACATGATGCTGCATGTAGCTGAGAGTTCTACATTCAAATCTGTAGACAGCAGAATAGAGACGCTGGGCCTGACTTGGACTTTGGAAGTATCAAAGCCCTCCCCAAAGACACACCTTCTTCAACAAGGCCACACCTCCTAATCCTCTCAAATAATGCCACTCCCCAGTGACTAAACATTCAAATACATGAGTCTATAGGAGCCATTCTTGTTCAATCAACACGTTAACCTCCTGGAGCCTCCAAGTTCTTGTTTACTTCTCTGCCTTTAGGGGCTGATGAAAAGATTGACTAATGGGAATGTGAGGGACCTTGGCTGTCTCTGTATTTACTGAGTTGGAAATTACACCAGAAAGCATTGAAAACCCACAGTGAATACTAATTATAAAATTAATTTTAAGACTAATGTTGCCATGGATCTTAGGGAATATAGTCCAGCATTCTTTGCTTTTAAGTAAAGAGCCGGGCTGCAGAGATGGCTGAATGGTTAAAGTACTTGCAGTGCAAGCATGAGTTTGGATCCCAAGTTAGAACAGGGTGGACACAAGCACGTGCACAGAAACACATAGATAAGAGACTAAACCGTAAAACATGAGGGGCTGACAAGACAACTCAGTAGGTAAAGGTGCTTGCTGTCAAGCCTGGTGATCTGAGTTAGATTCCCAGACCTCACGAGGTGGAAGGAGAGAACAAACTCTAACAAGTTGTCCTCTTGCTTCTTTTTTATTTGAATTTTATAAATGAAGGAAAATAGATTTTTGAAAAACTTTATGATAAAGAAGTTGGAATTAAAAAGACACACACTGAAATTAACCAAACTCAAAGGCTATTCAACTCAATGAACTTCTCTATGGTAGACACTATAGATTTTTATACTCTCACTGTTGAATGTATTTTTATGCACTTGCCCATCACCAAAACCAGAAAATCCATGACCTGCATTCAGTCCTTCCTCATCTGTTGTGGAATAACCTTTTTGTACACTGCAAAGCTGTGTCATTCTGATCGGTTTAATAAAAAGCTAACAGCCAATAGCTGGGCAGGATCTCGAGGCACAAAGAATGCTGGGAAGAAGTGTGGAATCTCAAGGAAACTGGAGGAAGCATGACATGTAGGAGATGTGGTAACAAGCCATGAGCCACGAGGCAGCATGTTAATTGATAGGTATGGGTTAATTTAAGTTATAAGAGCTAGTCAGAAACAAGCTTAAGTTATCAGCTGAACTTTCATAATTTATAATAAGTCTCCATGTGTTTATTTGGGAGCTGGCTGGTGGGACAGAGAAAGACTTACACTTATCCCTTAATACTTAGCCTTCCTTGTTCTGTATTCTGCTTGTTATTAATACCCACATGCACATTTTTTTGCACATATACAAATATTATTGACTGAATTCCACATCTAAGGGAAAAATGTAATTTTTTTCTGAAATTGCTTAATATTTTAAGTCCATCCATTTTCCTGAAAACTTTGTGATTTCATACTTATTTAAAGAAGAAAAATATTCTATTTTATATATGAAAATATTTGTTATCCACTCAGATGCTGAGAGCAATTAGGATGATACAATTCTTTGCTATAGTGACTGAACATGGGGTGAAGCTATCTCTGTGGTTGGGTACAGAGGTTTCTGGATATATGTCCAGGAGTGAAATAACTGGGTGATACGGTAGTTCTATCTCCACTTTTTGAGAAGTCTCCAAACTTATTTCCATGGCAGCTGGATTAATTTGAACACTCATGAAGATTGAATAAGCATTTCTTTGTCTCCACAACCTTTCCAGCATTCATTGATAAATTTATTGATGATGGCCATTATGACTGGGGTGCTAAGGTGGCATTTCAAAGCCATTTTAGCTCACATTTACCTGATAGTTAGGAGTATCAAACACTTTCAAAATAATTCTTGGTCACCTGTGTTTCTTTTGTATAGTTTTGGAAAGTGTGTTCAGTTCACTTGCCATTTGTTAACTGGGGGTTTTATTTCCTTGGTGTTTAATTTCTGCAATTCTTGATAAGTTCTTGATATTGGCCTACTGTCGGAATCATAGCTGCTAAAGATCTTTTTCCAGGCTGAGTGAATATTTTAGGTCATTTTTCTATTACACAGCTTGTCTTTTTTTTTTAAAGGAGACTTTTGTAATGAAAGAAAATAGCTTTTTGTTGGTTATAAGTATTGTAAATACTCTTCAGCTTGTCTTTTGACTTTGTCCCTGGAGGTTTGGCTTTTACAGTTAAATTTAAAGGTCTTTTCATAAATGACTTCTAAGTACTTTTCTATAGTTTCTGAAATATTCATATTGAGTGAAAAATAGATATATACAAAAATGTTATTTTTTTCTCCAATTACATGCATGTACACCAATTAAGGAAGTTTTAAGTGAATTTAGAAATGGGATTCTGGCAGGCACGGTGGCACAAACTTCTCATCAGCCACTTGCTGATGTAGGAGGACCTTGAGTTTGAGGCCAGCCTGGGCTGTGTAATGAGACCCTGTCTGAAGTATGCAAAAACAGGTATGGAGAATGGTTTAGCAATTGCGAGCACTTGTTCTTGCAGAAGACCTGGGTGCAGTTCCCAGTACCTACATGGTGGCTCACAACCACCTGTAACTACAGTTCTAGAGAATTCAGCCCCTTCTTCTGATCTGTGGTGCAGACATATGCATGTAGGCAAAGCATATATACATATAGGCTAAAATAAATAAATCTAAGCAATAAAGCTTAACCCCTCAAATAAATAAATAATTCTGGGGGAGGGGGTGGCATCAGAGGTATGGCTAATGACCTATGGGGCTACTGTGTCTATTCATTATTTACAGCTATGGGTGGAATTTGAAGCAGACACTGTTTGGGAAGCAGCTCTGCTCAGATTTGTTCCCCAGGAACTGTTGCATGGATCTGTAGAGAAGAGGAACAGATTCGGTCACCCCTCACCCTGGGCTCCCCAGCACCCAGGTCCTGCCCCTTGCCAGAGACATAGCTATGCATATAAACCACCCCCACCCCCTGCTCTATGAGGTCCTGGTACCCTTGGCGCCTTCCCAGCTCTGAGCTGCCATGCCTGGGGAGCCAAGATTCACGGGCACAGGCAGGTCCCTGTCACATGCTCTGCTGGTGATGAAAGATTGGGTGAGTTGGTTGGAGCAGTGGCTTTCATAGACTGCTGTTGTCAACTTCAGCTCTCCTGAGGTCCTTCACCAGAGCCCATGTAGTAGAGACCTGACTCTCACAGTTGTCCTCTGACACACATGTGTTGCACTGTCTTGTATGCATGCAAACATACATTCACTTAAAAATTACAGATGATTCCATCTGAGTGAGCATTCCATAGCTAGACTATAGGGACACAACATTGGATTTATATTTCAAATATAATTGGATCATGGGTTTCACTGGAGTTTATGTGTGCTATTTTATTATATTTCACTTTCGGTCTGGTTCCATCTATTTCCAATATATAAAGCTGTTCTCTGCACACAGCAGGCCCTCACTGTATTCTAGATTTGGCAGTGGTGTCATGAGTAACTCTCTGTCTTTGCAGGTCGCTACGCCCTGGTGGTCTGTGGTGATATTGCAGTCTACCCAGTGGGTAACGCCAGGCCCACAGGTGGCGCTGGGGCTGTGGCAATGCTGATTGGGCCCAAGGCCCCTCTAGTCCTGGAGCAAGGTTCGTAATAAACATTCCCAAGAGGCTGCATGCGGCCCAGTCACATTGTAGATCCTAATCTCAAACTGTCACACTCACTACTCAGGGCTGGGGGATAGGGGTGCTCACCTCTGAACGTCTGGCCTGGGGAGTAGCTGTTTAAGGGGAAGAGAGAAGCCACAATCTATGATTTCACCATGCACTGGGAGAACAATGCATGGCATGGGCCTGGCCAAAGCCGGTGAGGAACCCGCCATGGTGTAACTAACAGTGAAAGAATGAATCCAGACAGAAAGTGAGGCTTGGAGAATTCAGGCTTCTAGTCTAGGTTTCAGAAGCCCACAAAGGTGTGGAGAGGGAAATCTAAATCTTGCTTATTGAAACTCCTTTTGATTATGCCAGAGTGTTGAACAGGCTGACTCGGACATAGGTAACAGAACAAAGCCAGGAGTCTCATTTCACATGGTCCCTCCCATCCTGTGTGCTTGAGGTGGCCTGTGTGAGGCTGTCTCTAAAGCCTTCTGTGCCTTTCCAGGGCTGAGGGGGACCCACATGGAGAATGCATATGACTTCTACAAACCAAACTTGTCCTCGGAGTATCCGCTAGTGGACGGGAAGCTCTCCATCCAGTGCTACATGCGGGCTTTGGATCGATGCTATGCAGCCTACCGCAAGAAAATCCAGAATCAGTGGAAGCAAGGTATGCAGCCCGGAGGGCAGAAAGTGGGGGCTCTGCTGGTGTGGTCAAGAACCATGCTCTATCTTCCCTGCAGGGAATACTTAGCAATGATGTCTGTGGAACACATGAGAGAGAAAGACTTTGTAGTGGAGGGGATGAGAGAGCCTTACATGCATCTGCTGCAAGCAGGAACTATCTCTCTGGGAAGCCGGGCCCCATGGCACCCTTACAGCTGGGAGAGCGGATCCCAGTAGTTCATTGTCACGCCACCTCTCACCTTCACGGTTTCTTTTCTAGAGGGAAACAACAAGCCTTTCACCCTCGACGATGTGCAATACATGATCTTCCACACACCCTTTTGCAAGATGGTCCAGAAATCCCTGGCTCGGCTGATGTTCAATGACTTCCTGTCATCCAGCAGTGATGCACAGAACGATTTGTACAAGGGGCTGGAGGCCTTCAGGTGGGTCTTCTTTAAGTGGAGGTTTAGGCTTGTAGAGGGTGAGCTAGGAAGAGGCTCCCTCGTGCCTCGGATATATATAGACTTCCCTCCTATGAGAAGCAGATGGCAATACTCCAGCATAGCAGAAAGGATGCTAAGCTCTTCTTTCAATAGAAGGAAGGGATGGTGCTGGTCTGCATGGGCTCTCCATGTACTATGTGAGGAAAGGAAGGTAAAAAAGAAAGAATGAAAGCTAAGTAGGGCATGTGGCAAGATTTGATTTCTAGATTTCTAATGGACCATGAAAGTATCGGTAGATGAAACAACAAAGTGTGTGTAAATGTGGTTTCAGATGACAGGAATCTTACTTTGAGTTCTTCAGATGTTTAAGTATAGTAATAAAAAGCAAGCACGCAGGAGATTATTTTCTCCTGCCATATTCCCGGCCTTCTTCTCTTGTCACCTCTCCTGGGACATCTTGCTCTGCCTCGCAGGGGTCTAAAGCTGGAAGAAACCTACACCAACAAGGATGTAGACAAGGCTATTTTGAAGGCCTCCCTGGACATGTTCAACAAGAAAACCAAGGCCTCCCTTTACCTGTCCACGAACAATGGGAACATGTACACCTCGTCTCTCTATGGGTGCCTGGCCTCACTTCTCTCCCAGTGAGTACTGCCTCTTGCCCATCTGCTATGTCCCACTTATGAGCTGATAGGCCAAATAACTTTCATCCTTTTTCCCATTTAAACTTGGTTTGCTGAGATAGACTTCTACAGTAAAGGAAGAGAGAGAGGATGGATGGAAAGGTTACAACCAAAAGTGGTTGAGGGGCAGGGTTTGCTAGCTGGGTTGAACTTCTCCAGGGTGAACATTGGGGAATGTGCAAGATCTACTCAGAAATTAGAACTTGTGGCCATATTCTTATCTCACCTATTTAATATCTCTGTACTTAATATAGCATGGTGGATTGGAAGCTAGCTTTAGATCCCATAACTGGCTTCAAGACTACTTACTACTTACCTTGAAAAATAACTCCCCAAACCTGTAGGAGCCTTACTTTTCTTCATCTGTAAAATATCCATATAACAATGCCTGCTTTCCGCAGTTTCTATTCTTTGGTAATTTCATATACTATAAAATGTATTTAGATTATATCCACCCTCCATCACCCACTGCAGCTCCTCCTGGACCACCATTTAGCTATCTCTTTTTTATTTTATTTTTATATAACCCACTGAGTCTGATTAGTGCTTCCTATATAACATGGGCCTAGGGACAGTCATCAGAGCAGAAGCAACCAACCATGGGCCACCATCTTCCAACAGCTCCTCAGTTAAGGATGGGGCATCATAAGCCCTTTCTCTATCCATGCAGGAATTTTGATTGGCTTGACCTTATGCAGGCATCCAGAGCAGTGAGTTTGTGAGTGTGAAGGCCCTGACATGACCAGGAGATGCTATTTTGTAGCAGTCTAACCTGACTCTGGATCTTACAATCTTTCTTTTCCCTGTTCTGTGATTGCCCGAGTACCTCCCCGCCCCTTCTCTGATATAAATGTATTTGCATCAGTGCCACAGTGACACAAATGCTATTGGTGTAACCAACAGCTTTCTGGTTGGATTTAAGGTCAGCCCCATAGGAGGGGGCTAATGTCTGGTATTGAAAATCTGAAAATCGTCCCAGGAACCCATGGCTGGGTAGGTCATAGGCCCTAGAGGAGAACATACTATTACTTTGCTAAATAGACATAGTATCAAACTGCCTTCTAAATACCTATCTTTATGCTCACAGATTAGTACAGCTCTCACCCCTCATCAGAGAGGCTTCTTTTTGCAGGGAATGGTGATCAGTGGATATTAACAACTGGTCAAAGTACAGAGGATAATCAACTATGGAATGTTTTCTAGTTTTCATGAAAATTGCCTTTAAAAATTAAGGTGCCCAGAAAGTGCTCAATGGTTTTCCTGTTTTGTGGTGTTTATAATATATTGAATATTATATAATAAAGGAACATAGAGGTGAATTTGATCAAATTACTGATGAGGATGCTCAGAAAGCCAAGTCAGGAATGTGTGAAGGCAAGTGCCTGTAATCCCAGAGCTGTGGAGGTAGGGGGACTACAGAGTTCAAGGCCAGCCTGGCTACATAGGTACACAGGTACACAACACACACACCCTGAACCCTTAGAGTAGGTACATAGGTATACGACATACAGACACATGCACAAGCGCGTGCACGCACACATACACACTGAACTGTTGCAGTTAAGTTGGGAGACCTGAGGGTTTGTCCACTGGTTTAATCTGGCTACAGCGAGAAGCATCTGCCCTCACAGTCCCACCTTCCTGTTTGGGGCTGTGGCTGCTCTCCTTTTGGTCCCACACCTGGATTCCACCAAAGGTCCCTCTGAGCGGAGTGCACGGGCATGTCTCTAGTGCTCCATGTATCAGGCAGGCATAGTGAGATTGGAGTGACACACAGAAGCTTTGTGTGAAATGCATATTCAGTGCTGACGTGGGGTTTTCTTTCACCTGCAGCCACTCTGCCCAAGAATTGGCCGGCTCCAGGATTGGCGCTTTCTCCTATGGCTCAGGCTTAGCAGCGAGTTTCTTTTCACTGCGAGTGTCCAAGGATGCTTCTCCCGGTGAGTCTCATCTTGCAGCAGGTACTACCGAAACGGTGCCACCTGGTGAATGAAACCACCTAGTGTTTTGCCTTGGCTGAGGTTGCTGTCTCGACAGAGCTAAGTTGTTGCGATTAAGAGCAAAGAAAACTTCTGCATAAAGTTATACACGCCAGCACTTCCTCTATCGTAGCAATGGCAGACACAAGGAAACCTGGTAGACAAGGCAAGAGGTAATGGTGGTTTGGCTTGGCTGCCTAAAGAGAAGTTGTGGCCTTGAGATTGCGGGATGACTACTATGACCAAGACCAGGCATCTGAACATCTTGTGGGGTCACTCTACAGACCCTGGCCGCCTATCAGCACCAGTGACAACGACAACAGGAAGCTTTAACATTGCTTTTGCTTTCCAGGTTCCCCTCTGGAGGAGCTGGTGTCTAGTGTGTCAGATCTGCCCAAGCGTCTAGACTCCCGGAGGCGCATGACTCCTGAGGAATTCACAGAAATAATGAGCCAAAGAGAGCAATTCTACCACAAGGGTAAGAAAGGGGGCAGGAAGAGAAAGCAGTTCACCCCAGATTCCATGTCAGTACCTGGGAATGGAGGTTCATCCGACATCTAGGATGTAATGGGCCAGGGTCACAATTCCTATGAGATATGATTGAGAGATGTGCTTATGAGGCAAGAACTTGAGCAAGTGAGCCATCTTCACAGACCTTCTTTAATAGCCATGCAGACCTCAAGTACCAGACCCAAGATGGCAGCTCTCTGGTCCTTCCTTCTATATAGCATATTAAATGTGACTTACAGTCCCTGCACACCTGTGTCACTCTTTGTAAGTACTGTTTCTTTTTCTTTGTCCCACAGTGAACTTCTCACCACCTGGTGACACACGAAACCTCTTCCCAGGTACTTGGTATTTGGAACGAGTGGACGAGATGCATCGCCGAAAGTATGCCCGGCGTCCCGTCTAAAGGAGGCCAGTATGAGTATGCTTGAAGGCCTGGTGTCTTCCTCTGGGTAGCAGATTGAGTTCTGAGTCTATAATCATGTCAAAGAAGGCCATAGCTTAGGAAATGGTTGGGGGGGGGGGTTTACAAACTGTGAGCTCCAGAACATGGGTGGGAAGAGTCTCTGTCTTGGAAATTTGGCTGTGAAAGTCAGACCTCTGAGTATTTAAGTCTCCTAGAAGCTTGAGAGAAACTGAATCAGAACCCACAGGAGCAAACAGACAGCAGCAGGAACTTGGCAGCATATAGTTCCTACACAATGAGATGGGTGGTGACACCCATCAGGAGCTGAACTGGGAGACAATTCCTAAGGGAGCTGGGTGGTCTGAGTTCCTTGGCTGGAAGGAGCTTTGGGGGTGGGCAGCCGCAATGTGACAATCTCATGTCCCAAGATTCCTTGTGGGGAGAAACAGTGAAGCTTGGTAAATTAGTAAGGATGGATGTAGGGAGAGAAGTGGGTAGAAGATGTCTGGGGATCTGGGGAAATGGAAGGATTCTTTGTGGCATTTCTTTAAGGGAAATCTTTGGAGCTACAAGCTTGTGATTCATGATTGTAGCTGTCTGCTGTTTTCGTTGGCCCAATAGACAAGCAGAATGCAAGTGCAAGAAGCGATTTCTTTTTCAGCCCCCAAACCTCAATAGATTTGCCCTGCTTGTTGATTAAAAGCATGAGGAAGGTGAGAAGGTGTAACTGAGGAAAGGGAAGGAACAGAAGGAAAGATGTGACGCCCATACACTCTGGGGAGGTACAGGCAGTGCACTGGTCAGGACACTAACCACTGCCCCAATCAATGGGACAGTCACAGCTCCCTGGCCCCCTTTGTCAGGCTGCTCAAATTCTGGAGTCAAGATGTCAGGCCAAGAAGTGAGAGTTGATGGGCCAAGGACACAGGATGAGCATGAGAAGGTCCAGGTCAATAAGCGGGTTCACGGGACTTTCGTCCTAGCAAGAAACTTGCTTAAAATATGAGTCTGAGGAATAGGTGAGTGGCAAGGACGGGGCTGTTAAATCCACTGAGCCAGGTGAGTCATGAGATGCGGAGAAATTGTGGACTGGGCATGATGGCTCACACCTGTACTCACAGCATTTATAAAGGAAGCTGAGGCAGGAGAATCACATTTGAGGTCAGCCCGGGTTACATAGTGAGTTCCAGACAAGCCAGGAATTATCTGGAACAAATAAAAACAGAAAGGGGGGAGGGTTGCAAGACGATTTCCAATCCTAGCCCTTTCCTTCATAAGAGCCTTGACAGCATCATGGCACAGGGCTCCTGGGGTGTTCACACTGAGTCAAGAGCACCAAGGCAAGGCTGACATGGAGAACTGAAGTTGGTAGAGCAGTCCATGGAGCCACTGTCCCAGCCAACCCATCCCCATCTCTCATCACCATCAGAGCATGTGACAGGGACCTGCCTGTCCCCCAGTCTTGGCTCCTGTAGCACTGATTGATAGGCTCCCCAGGCATGGTGGCCATGGGAAGGCAGCAAGGGTACTGGGATCTCATGGAACAGGGGAGGGGGAGCTTATATGCATAGTTATGTCTCTGGCAAGGGGCAGGGCCTGGGCACTGGGGAGCCAGGGTGAGGAGGGGTGACCAAATCTGTTTCTCTTCTCCACAGATCTATGCAACAGTTCCTGGGGAACGAATCTGAGCAGATTCTACTCTCAGCTGTAGATGATGAATAGACACAGTAGCCCCAGAGAATCTGCTCTGCAGTGAAGGGCCACCACCCTTCAGTGGGTCCATCCTGACTCTGCCTGATGCAACCACTGCCCCAGACTCATGCTTCTGTGGACCAGAGCTCCCCTGTGAAGAGGGAGATGGAAGCGAGAGGGTTCGCTGACCCCCAGGGAAGAGAACCAGCCATCTCCCACATTGACAGATCCACCATTTGTTACAGCTTATTATCTGACGCCTCTGCTGTTGTATTTTATGCTCCTTTCTTAAAGTTCCCTGAGAATTTCTAAATTTTGTATCTTGTTCTAAAATAATATATGGCAATCAAATGAGGAAAGAAATCGTGTATACTTTCTTGAAGCCAAGACCCACTTAGAATTCGGGACACTCATCACCCCACCCTTTCCACTCACAGTCCAATTCCCCACATTTCTGTCCAGTTCTGCCAAATCCTCCGGTGACACAGAGCTCCCCCTGCCCATTTCTCTGTCCTAAAGGGCAGGAGCAGTAGGTACTTGGTCAATCAAACCCCCTTGGCATATATACCAGTGTTACCTAGACCAAACATAAAACAATACCCATAATGTTGGTCAGGCATGGTCACATGCATCTGAAATCTCAGCACTTGGGAGGCTGAGGAAGGGTGAGTTCAAGGCCAGCCAGAGTCATGCAGGATGACCTAAACAAAAGGATGAGGCAGAGGGAGGATAATCCCTGCCTTGGGTAAAGAGAACATAACTTTTCCAGGGTCTTCCTAAAGCAGCAGTGCTTTAAGGATGTGAGCACTGAACACAGGAGAGAAACTGGGCGGGGAGGGATAGGAAGGACAGGGGGTTGTAGTCTTTCATTTTCTTTTGGACATGCCCATGAAAGTACAAGAAGCATACCGAACACCAAATAGACTGGACCAAAGAAAAAAGACCCCTCGACATATAATAACCAAAACAACTAACATTCAGAATAAAGAAAGAATATTAAGAGCAGCGAAGGAAAAAGGACAGGTAACATATAAAGGCAGACCTATCAAAATTACACCTGACTTCTTCATGGAAACCCTCAAGGCATAAGGTCCTGGATAGATATTCTACAAGTACTAAGAGTCCACTGATGCCAGCCCAGGATACTATACCCAGCAAAGCTCTCAATCACTATAGATGGAGAAAACAAGATACTTAATGACAAAGCCAGATTTTCACAATATGTATTTACAAATCCAGCCCTACAGAAAGTACTGGAAGGAAAACTCCAACCCAAGGAAGTTAACTACGCTCACAAAGACCTAGGCAACAGATAATCCCACTACACCAGAAACCAAGGGTAAAGCAGGACAAATATATTCACAATACCACTGCCAACAACAAATCTAAAACAAGCATTAACAATCAATGGTCCTTGCTCACCCTCAACATTAATGGTCTTAATTCACCTATAAGAAGACACAGGCTAACAGAATGGATACGAAGACAGAATCCATCCTACTGCTGCATATAAGAAACACATCTAAGCTTCAAATATAGACATTACCTCATGGTAAAGGGTTGGGAAAAGATCTTCCAATCAAATGGAACCAAGAAGCAAGCAGGTGTGGCTATCCTAATATCTAACAAGTTAGACTTCAAATGAAAATTAATCAAAAGAGATGAAGACAGTCATTTCGTATTCATCACAGGAGAAATCCATCAACACAAAGTCTCAATTCTGAACATCTATGCCCCAAATACGAAGGCACCCACATTTGTAAAAGAAGCACTACTAAAACTCAAACCTCACATAAAACCTCACACGTTTATAGTGGCAGACTTCAATACACCACTCTCAGCACTAGACAGGACCACCAATCAGAAACTCAACAAAGAAATAAAAGAACTAACAGAAGTTATGTCTCAAATGGGTTTAACAGACAGCTATAGAACATTCCATACAAACATAAAAGAATAGAACTTCTTCTCTGCTCCACATGGAACCTTCTGTAAAATCGACCACATACTAGGTGACATAACAAACCTCAACAGATACAAGAGAATTGGAATAATACCCTGTATCTTATTAGACCACCATGCTTTAAAATTGGAATTCAACAACAACACAAATCACAGAAAACCTACAAACTCATGGAAACAGAACAATGTGCAATTGCACCACGCCTGTGTCAAAGAAGAAATAAAGAAATTAAGGACTTTCTAAAATTCAACGAAAATAAGGACACAACATACACGAACTTATGGGACACCTTGAAAGCAGTGCTACAAGGGAAGTTCATTGCACTAAGTGCCCATATGAAGAAAACAGAGGATAGTCACTTTAGAGAATTAACAGCACAACTGAAAGCTTTAGAACAAAAAGAAGCAAACTCATCCCGGAGTAGACGCCAGGATATAATCAATTTGAGGACTGAAATCAACAAAATAGAAACCAGGAAAACAATACGGGAAAAAAAAAAAAATCAATGCAACAAAGAGTAGGTTTTTTTTTTTGAGAAAAATCAACAAAATAGACAAACCTCTATCCAAACTAACGAAAAAGCAAAGAGAGAACATACAAATTAACAAATTACTCAGACCCAGGAGAATCTCAGCATTCATGTAGCATGAGACCTGCATGTTTAGCCACGCCCCCAAGACTTCTGGTGCATGACCATCCACTTTGAATTCCCTGAAAGCAAAGCCCCTGAAAGCAGAGCCTGGTCTTCCCTGTGCTGAGCTTTGTACTCCGAACATGAAAGGGTTCTGGAACACTCAGCTATGTTCCTGTGAAAATACCTCTGGATAATCTTAGAAAAGAAGGGAAGGGCTATCTTCACGGCACCAAGCTCAGGTCGTTTGCACACTCCAACCTTTCTCTATATACCCTACTAATCAGCTGCCAAAACCTCAAGGCAGCTTATGGGCGCCCTCTGCTGGCTTTTCTGGATAATGATGTACAGACACCCCGTGGAGTTAAGACTCTTTACTAGATGTTATTTAAGGCAGGTGTCCAGGTTTTGCCCCAGGAACGTGGATCTCCTCCTCCTATGGATCACAGCCAATGGATTTCTTCAGAAAGGTCTGTGGGGCTAGCGCCTCTGAGCCCCAGGGTCAGAAGCAGAACTGGAAGGCCTCAGACACGTGTGGCTTCCATGCTTCCAGGCTGGGCAGCAGGGATGAGAGGCCCATGACGTGCCAGGTCTCTCCATCAGATACCTTAGAGGTTTGGTAGGAAAGCAGCTGCACGCCTGCCTCTGCCAGGAGGCCTGGGAGGAAAGGAAAGCCTTGGTTAGTGTGGCACATGCGGGGAGAAGGAGGGGAGAGAGCAGGCAGGCTTCTGCAACCAAGACCTCACTGGGTGGA